TCCATTTTGAAATTATTTATCATCGTGATCGAACGCCGCTTACTGCTAATTAGTTTGAAATAGAATAATTTTTGACCTTTTTTTTTTTCTCCATTTTATCCTTACGAGATAATTGCTCTGGTATACATTGTCTACGATACTTGTATATAAGCGTATATATGTGTGTGTATGTGTATATATATATATATATATATGTATATATAATGTATAACTTGTTGGAGAATCTAAAGGAATCTGGATTTTAACGATCACCGTAAATTTCATTTGTTAACATTAATGGGAATCTTTTTTATTTTTTTTTCTTCCTTGAGCGAATGTCTTCAGTTTACAAAGGATGTTTCTCGGCTTTTAATGGAACTCGTGCGTATCGTAAAATCTTTTACCCGTCCTTGGTCAGGAATTATTTACAAAGTAAGCCTTTTTACTGTCTGTATTATATTATCTCTTCACATTTATTCTTTATTAATACTTTACATTGTTGTCGATTAACGGGACATTCTGTTATCTAAGGATTATGGTCCATTTGAAATGTAAAGAAATTGTTTAAATTATAACAGGATACATTTCGGAGTCGATAATTTGAAAGTGAAACAAAAAGATAATTACTTAATTATTTTTTATAACGAAACAATTATAAGATATGTGTGTGTACGTGTGTGTGTGTGTGTGTGTGTGTGTGTGTGTGTATGTGTGTACATTACAATGAAAAAATACATTCCGAAGAATAAAAATAGAATTATTTATAATCAGATATGTCAAGTAATATATGCAATTATTCGCGAATAAAATTTATGCTAACGTTATTCTAGCGAAAGGAAAGTTTAGTTAGTTAGCGACGTTTACTCGATCGAGCATAAACGTGTGAATTATAAAGTTTTGTAAATTTTTTTTTCTATTTTTCTTTCTTCGTTTTTCTTTAAAAAGATTATTTTTTTGTTTTCTCTTTTCAATGTGCTAATATGTGCTTCCGTATGCGTGTATGTGTGTGTGTGTGTGTGTGTGTGTGTGTGTTTGACGATTACGAACACGAATAGCGTTATCTATTGACGTGCTTGAAGAACTTTCATGTCGATTGAAACGTTCACCTCTTAACATCCAATTCTCGTTTCATAGAGCAAAAAAAAAAATATATATATATATAAGAAAAAAGATAATAAAAGAAACGAAGAAAGAAAAAAAAAAAATATATATATATATATATATAAAAGCTTCGGCGAAGAGTGGCACCATATATTAGCTAGCACTTTAACTCGTTATTGGCCTCTCTTGAATGTTTTGCGCCTCTTCGAGCGATACTGTCTTGTTCACAAATAAGAGATAAAAAAAAAAGGGTTTAAAAAGAGACACAGATAGATAGATCGTATTAGAAAGATTCGCTGAAGAAAAATAATGTAGTTCTGCTTCTACATGACTTCGTAAATAATTCATCAAGATATGTAATATCAATTTTCTTTCATTGATTGAATTAGAAACATAATATTATTTTTATTTCGTGATCGTTTAATGCTTTCCATCAATATGTATAATTTTGTTAGACTATTATAAATCTCCTTCTGAGATTTTTCTATTTCATATTTTTTTGATTTTTTATTTATTTAATATATATATATATATATGTTTTTTTCTTTTTCTTTTTTTTTGTCTTCATAGGAAAGAAAAATAATTAAAATAATCTATATTCAGTAATATTATTATTAATCGTATATAATATATTTATAATAATTTAATAGTAAAGCCAATAATATTCTTCGTTTCTAATTCGTTTCTAATTAAAAATAATGAAAATAATTTTAATCTCGGAAATCTCGTTTCAGAGTATTAATTTAAATACTTATTTATTTTATTTTTATCCTAATAGGAAATTTTAATCGAATATAATCGATATATATATATATATATATATATATATATATATATTTCATAGTATTCGAACTATCTATTGATATAAATATCATGAATATTGATAATTATTCGTGAATATTAATGATAATTTTATTGCGTAAATATTTTAATTGCGTTCAACGTTAAAATTAAAACGCAATAAGTGTTTAGAGTCACACTAACAATATCGTAAATAACATGAAACATAAAAAGCAATTATATTGATCGATAATAAGCAAGTTGAAAAAGAGATAGAGATAGAGAGTATTACAAGAGTTGACTAATTAAACTTTACATCAATGAAGCAATCGATGTTATAATTCATCGGCATCAGCAATCGATTTAAGGTATCCATTATCGCGACACTTAATTTATTTTGCTTCGTATATGAAGAAAAAGATAGAGAAAAAGAGAGAGAGAGAGAGAGAGAGAGAGAGAGAGAAAGAGAGAGAGAGAAAATGATTTACATTAATGAACACATGTTCAATTTTGTTGTCACTAAAAACACGTGATCGACACCTAATTTATATTATTTAAATATTATATTAAAAGAAAAAGAATGTACAGGCATGCACGCGCATACGTAAGAGAAAGTAATATAGCGATTCATTATCAAAAA